CCATAGTGTTCCTGTGTATAACAGTATATTTTCTTACAGGCACACAATGGGACAACGCTGGAAGCTACCACTGCAGCTGCTTCTCCAATCCAACAGCAGAGACTATCTACCTGGTCTACTTATGAGTTAGATCGCTCGACACTCCGGATGTTAACATGGTATCAGTCTTTGATAAACTCTACAAGAATAGTCTATACGCACCTGCAAAATGTTAAACTCAGAGGCCGAAACTGAATAGAAAGCTTATCGTTAAGCGTTGTCACTAGAAGATTGTTTACATATCACGATTATAGTACTTTGATGAAATTACTATTTATTATTACGATTATTGTACTTTGATGCAATACTATTTATCATAATATAATGATGCATCAATATCCATTGTCTACATATCTTGTTTATCATACATAGTTGTATGTATCATAGACAATATTGTATCTATAACATGGCCTTGTATGTACAAATACGTATAATATATACGATGAATAATAACTAGGCCGTTTTGAAATATTTATTGATACATTCAAATTATGAAGATTTCTATGTAAGATTTTTGGACATTTTTGATGAAGTAATTGACACTAGCTGGATGAGATATATGGTCATGTTTGTTTCTTTGTTATTATTCATACTCAATGACCTAAGTCGATCATTCTGAGCACCGTACACATACTGACCCCCTCTCCTCATTGAATAAATACAGTTTTAACAGACACTATGATTATAAGAGTTTTCTTATCAAAGACGAAGCCATGGTTACCATCCGGGGGCCTGTAGTCATGCTGGCAGACGTATATGTACTATGCCTGGATGAAACCCACATCAGAACGTCTTATTGGCGAATAAGGATGTCATCCCGTCTATAGTTTTGACAATATTGTGTCGGAAAACCTATCGCATGCAAAGGGCAAAATTCTGATGCAACGTCACCCAACCATCAATGAAAATCATGAAAACTCTCGGTTTTCGGTAAAACAGAGCTGGAAATGCTTGCAATTGGGTAATTCATTTGTTATTATACTACGTAGATTAAACTAAACATTTTAACTATCGCCTCCGAGCTGATATCTTGTGATATCTGTGAATTTTCAAGGGTTTCAACTGACTCAAATGTCAGAAAAACGTGTTTTCTAGAAACATAGGTACGTAATACACGTGACTTATTTGCTTGTGCTAGAACCACCAAACTTTTCTATTAGCTGGTTGAAGTAATAATGTTCATGTTGCCAGGGCAACGGGTTTCTACTGAAAAATTTGCAACTTTCAGCCATCTCCGTTTACAGTTTTAAACAATCAGTTTTAAGGGTTTGATATCAAATTACAAAAGGTTCCTAATATCAATAACATAATATGCCAATGAAGAACATGTTTAAGGAAAAAAGTATTTTTAGACTATTTTGAAAAAAAAACACTCAAATCGCTCTCAGGCTCAACTTACAACAGTCTCCAAATAATAACAAAGAAGCATAAATTGAACCCAGTTACAAGTTTTATTATCCGTCAACATTGTTAGTCATTCCATTCCATTCCTGTTCTTTTTTTAGATATTTGGAACATTTTTGGAAATTGTTTATGGATCAAAGTTTATCAATCAGTATCTTAATTACTAGCCTCACCAAAATGCCCTGCTAATATTAGTAGATACAATCAATCAGTGGCACAAATCTTAAGAATCTGTGATATCTGAGCGATGTAACAGATAGTTACTAGTACATTAAATCTTAATCACCATTGTACCTTGTTAAGTATCAAATTACAAAAGATATCAAAATGTAATTGTCTGAGGATGGTAGAAAATGATTATTAATACGTCGACAGGTTTATTCCTTTGTGTTTTAAAGAACTTAATCGCCCAATTCCTTAACCCCAATTAAACTATTCATAGCCATCTGTCTCGGTCACTTGATCAGCCACTTCTACTTCTGCCTTGTCTTCCAGCTTCTTAACGTTCTGTTAAAAGAAGAAATAAGAAAAAAAGAGAAAAACAGAAAAACGTAAGAAACAATGAGATCAACCCAACACAGGACATAAGAAAATGATAACATTGGAGGTTGGAAATGTCAAGTCTCATACAAATTACAATAAGTAAAAAAATGTTATGTTCCAGTTATATAGCAATAGTGGGATTTAAATGTACCATTAGCCACGATGTCCACCACGCGGAATCCCACGTCTGGCTAAAAAATCTTTCCTGTCGTTACAAAGTGGGACTATATATAGAGAGACTTAACGCAGCTCAAATGTACCTTCTATCTTAGCCTCCAGGTCCTCAAGTTCAAGTAGCAGATCCTCTACTTCGTCCCGCTTTCCTTTATTCTTGCATTTTATGTTGCACGCTTTTTCAGAGAATCTCTTCCTGCATCCCTTAAAGCAATCGTCAAATGCAGAGCCTCGCTTCTCCATCTCTAGCTCGTCCAGGTCTGCCAGGGAAGGGGAGAGAAAAACAGGAGGCGTTATAAACACTGATCAACACGAGAAGGGTCGTATGTCATTCAGTTTAAAACTCATTATGTCAAAGAACGTTGCCTTCAAGTTCTAAAGTTATTGTGTGACTTAGTTGACCACTACAGCACATCTGAAATGTACCTTCTTCCTCAGCCTCCAAGTCCTCAGCTTCAGGAAACAGGTCATAGCCGCGCTTCTCCGTCCCCAGTTCCTGCAGTTCTGTCAGAAAAAGAGAAGAAAAAAACGGAGACGTTAGAAACACTACACGGGACATATATGTAAAGTAGACAACAATGAACGAGTGTGAAATCTAAAGAAAAAGAAAACTAAGACGCCTTAAACAGAGGAACCTTGCGTCTAAGTTACAAAGTGGGACTATAGAGAGACTTAACGCAGCTCAAATGTACCTTCTATCTTAGCCTCCAGGTCCTGATCAAGTTCAGGTAGCAGATCCTCTACTTCGTCCCGCTTTCCTTTATTCTTGCATTTTATGTTGCACGCTTTTTCAGAGAATCTCTTCCTGCAGTCCTTAAAGCATGTGTCAAATGCAGAGCCTCGCTTCTCCATCTCTAGCTCGTCCAGGTCTGCCAGCGAAGGGGAGAGAAAAACAGGAGGCATCAGAAACACTGATCAACACGAGACGAGTCGTATGTAAATGTCATTCAGTTTAAAACCCATGACGTCAAAGAACGTTAAGCTGGAGAAGTTAGAAATACTGACATCAACTATCGACACTTGCTGTGCGAAACATTACAGCTCAAACTTACCTTCTAGCACGTCCACCAACTCTCCTAACTTGGTCAGCAGGCCTTGCAGGTCCTCCTCGCGATCCGCAGGCATGGCGGCCGCAGCAAGCACCAGGCAGCCCAGGAACAGGAGGCACACGGACAGCTTCATCGTCGAATGGTTTGAAAAACCCTGAAGAAATATCATAAAACATATGGCAACGTTACTATCGATGATTACTGTACTATGGAAGGGAATACGATACACGCGGGCTTTTATATATATATGACGTTGTAGCCTCGTCCTACTGGTTCATGCTTATAGCGAGCTCTATAGCTAGTGCTAACTACTATATAATACAAGGTTAAAGTCTTTTTTCACAGGTCTTTTATTTTTCTGTATACTTTAACATTTCGAATACACATTTCGAATGAAAAAATCAGGTTAGTTATTTACAGGCGAAAGGTTTGCTAGTTATGTTGTATCTTATAAAATTACTCTCTTTGTATATTTCATAACATAATGTTCCTCGCTTTGAAATCAACTGTTTACCCACACATTCACGAATTTATTCACGAACACCAGCCCACCAGGCTCGTCAGTCGTTTTGGAGCAATCCTGCCAGATTTAGCCAACACATACCTTTCCATACAACTCGAAACGACTTTGAGTTACACTTTAGTCAACTGCGACCCATGAACACACCCTGAACACTTCGAAATAGTTGGCTGGTTCTCTGCTGAATACCAGTCAACCTTGCTCGAACCTCCGGACCAAACCTTCGAATATTTTTTAAAAACATTTTGAAACATTCGACTGAAGCAGCCGAATAGTAGCCGACCCGGTCGAACACCAGCCAACTTTTCACTGACCGACTCCTAGTTCGGCTAGTGTTCGGGAGGAAAAATTTCGTGAATGTGTGAGAGGGGCTGAAATGAATGGCATGTAATGCTCCTAATTAAAAGGGATAAAAAAAGATATTATTCGTAAAAGAAACAAAGACATACCGCAATTATGGTGTTGTCTGTAAATTACAGATAATTACAGTATCTGCATGACGTATATAATTACTCAAAGCATGCTTCAACATACATCCCTTAAGCGTACCCGAAGGGTAAAAGGCCGTCGAGTGGCCAGTCCCCTTCGAATGGGTCCCGGATAGTGAAAGATTGTGTACCAGTACAACAGGTCAGGGTGTGAAACACCTTTTTTTTTAATTCAAAAGTTCTTTCCGGCAAGATCTCACGGACAATCGGCTCTTAGGCCGAAGAATAGCCAGACCAAGTGACACATAACTTTATACAGACACCAGCGTTTGTTACATACAAACAAATGTAGCACTGCTTTTCTTTTCAAAGTTCAGTCTTGGAAAAACTAAGTCTGCATTAAGCCGTTTCACACCCGGTTTCGAAGTTGTTTTCAATACATGCTTGAAACGTTTTTAAAGATAAATTTTAGAATCTATAGCTATGGCAATCACTCAGCAAAACATGATAGTCTTGAATAGTTCGGCTTCCCACGGTTGATCAACTTTTTTCGTATTTTTTGAGCAGTGAAACGTACTAGTAATCAAAATGTCGCCCCAGAGTCGAACGTGCTGCTTGTACAAACATCTACCCTATCCGGTTGGATGGTGATCGGTGGCCGGTAAATATCTTCCGAAAAGTGGATGGAATGTTGTCTATATAAACGTTGCGATCGAAAAATTACGGGACGTATGACTGCCGAAAATATTCACTTGAGCTAGGAGACTCGTCAAAAGTTTGATTTTTTCCTGCACTGAGACCATGGAGCTGTCCGGAGGTAGAATTGAATGCTGAGACGGGCTTCCATGTACCAATCATTTGTATCTTAAGCCCATGTTACACATTTAGAGCCATCGTCCGAATACCAGCTCACCACGGTTCTTGAACGTTCGAGAGCATACAAATCTAATTTCAGTTAAATTTGAGTCAAATTGACTTCTAACCACACTACAACCTACCCCTGAACGCCAGTCAACCACGGCCGAACCGCCCGTCCACTTTATAATTATGTTTGAAACATTTTGAATCATTCGGCCGGCGCAAACAAATAGTAACCGACCTGAACGAACACAAGCCGACCCAGCCAATCTTGCTCCGGATCCCGACCTACTCCAAACTATGGTTGGGGAGAGTTCGGCTGGTATCAGGAGGCCATATCCGGCTATGTGACATGGGCATTACATTATAGACCAAGTCGGTAGGTGACCGTAAATCGACAACATTCCCGGCGAAGCGGCAAAACCTCTAGAAACCCAATTTAAGCTGGTATATGAACAGGGGGTTCTATCTAAGGAGACGGTCACATTTCTAAGCCGGGCCCGGCCTGGTTGTTTGCGTGAACGAAAAATTAACAATCTGTATTAAGAGTACACACAAATAGTGGTCATGGTTAATTTTCTAAAACTTCTATTGTGTTTTGCTGTCTTATATCATAATTTTCGTTCCAAACAACTGCCCGGCCGGGTCCCTGGTTGGGAAATGTGACCGCGTCTTAAGTGAACAAACAAAAATACGAGTTGCTACTTACAGAATTTCTTGTCAGGCTGATGACAGTGAGGTTGGCGTCTGAAGACCTCTTCCCCCTCTTCTTCTCGCGGCTGGAGACAAGAGGATGGAATAGAACAGTGTGCAGGGCTCCGGCCTTTTAACTGCTCATGGCCAGTAATTATTCAAATTAGTGCCCACAGGTGTGGCTCCACAAAGTCCGTGCCTATACATGTGATAACATCTCTGCGTTCTTCTACATAAAGATATGTTAAATACGAGTAGTACTGAAAACAATGCGTCTATTGTTAAGGACCCTTCGAGCAACGCTGTAGGGAAGAAATTTTGGACAAGCCTTGCTTGCTTGATCTACAGCCGTTGTCTGTTGATGATAGATAATAGTTATGCTTTGGGCGTTCCATTAATATGTCATTTTCTTTACCTCATACATTATCTATCGTATAGAAGTCTACAGTTACTTTAAGATTAGTAGAAAAACAATAGTAGAAGTTTCTCTCTGATAGTAAATATTTACTGACAATGAAATACTAGTAATACCTCCCAGTATATCCTATAGCCGTAGCCGTAGGTAAAGAGAGTCTTTTTTTTTGCGTGCTGTTTAAAGCTATAAAAGTGGGAAAAGACAGACGGTACGTTTAGGAATTACAGGTTTACTGTACCGGGAACCCACTGGACAATAGACTAATGGTCAGATGTGTACACAAAATTCTCAAGGTTGCATCGATCAGCCTACGTGTGGATGTTTTCGGTTTGTTTTCGCTTGTTTTCGAGTTGTTCGGGGTAATTCCCTGGCTGTGTTCAGTAATTAGTGAAACAGCTGACTATAAAACAAATAATAAAGCAATCAGACATAATTCAAACCTTCCCGTCAATGTGGTCTTTAAAACACACGCCGTACTGTAAAATACACAGGGGCTGTACAGAGTCAAAAGTTCAGATGTTCATACAGAGTGTCAGAGACAATATTTCACGAACTGAGGTTTTCCGAACTGACAAGCACGATTGATGGAAGACGCTTTACAATACACCCTTTTACAATATCCTGGGGGCTTAACATTTCGTCTTTTGTGAAGGATTCTTCAGGTAATGCAATTATACACTTTGGGGGAGCAATTTTGATCTGTTGGTGGGATGGATAATGACAGTGTTGTCGGCATCTCATTTCATAAAGATGAGTTCATTCACCTCATTCCATATACACCACATTCAAGTGAACAGTTAGTAGTAATATTAGTAGTGCTAGTAATAGTTGAAGTAGTCAAAATTACATACATTGTACAATGTGCAATTGTCATACACTAAGTTCTTCTATATCGCAAAGGTTAGCGATCCTGATAATAACAGCTTGCCCAGGGGAACCGCCGTAAGTCATTTCCTTAATTTGTTTTTTGCGTGCAGTGGACTAATTTAAAACAGACCTATAGTTTTATCAGAAAAAAAAAACAAAGTTATGGAAGACAGAAAAGACAGACGCTATCCCGTTTCAGAATGTACAGGTTTATTGTATGGAGAAACCACTATAGACTACGCACTAGTCACTAGTAAGCACTCTGCCTTTTGAACTATAGGCAGCGCTCTGCCTTTTGAAGTATAGGCATCCTTCCATGTCAAGAGATGACAGTAGCTTTATAAGTCTGGTGTTGTGGTCGTGCTTAGGGTCTGGTGTGGCTAATTAGCCCTACATGTATCTTGTATCGCATGGCAGTCCCGGCCATAGTTAATACACAGGAAAGTTGTAATATTTTGTGGTTTCTCTTTTTGCTTCGAATTCTTGCGCTTTGTCTTAAATGTTTTCGGTTTGCTCTCGTGTGGTTTTGAGTTTATTCCCGGGTTGTTTTCAGTAATTAATGAAACAGCTGACAATATAAGACAAAAAGAGCAACCAGGCATACTTCACAACTTCACGTCACGTGGTGTTTTATAACGAATACACCGTACGTTAAATACACAGGGGCTTTGTAGAGAGCCGACTGTTTTATCGTTTATACATAGACAACATTTGACGAACTTTAAGTTTTCAAAGTTCTACTAACCTTTTGACCCTTTAGCACCTACAGCACCTGCAAATTCCAAAATTAAAATTGATAGAAAACCCTTCGGCAATAACCTATTGACATTTCGTCTATTGTTAAAGATCCTTTGTAAGAAGTTATGGGCAAAATTTAATTGACCTGCAGTGGTTGTCTGATAATGCTATATAATGATCACGCTGTAGGCGTCTCATTTCAGAAACTAGACTTCATTCAACCAAGGGGGTTAGAAATAAGCTCTTTGATTCAACTCACACATTATACACTGTATACAACTTGGTCTGCAGTAGTAATTGTAAAGTAGTCTCATTTTAGTACGTTTATGACAATGAAATCAGCACGTCGGCAGAACATACTGCACCTGCACAATTTATTTTGCGTAGCACTTTTGAATAAATAGAACGTCTCATATAAGATTGTATTTGTGCACATGAGGTTAACAACATCCCGTCTGTCGTTTCCAAATGTTGTGTCGAAATAAAATCGTCTTCAACAGGCAAAATTTTGATGCAACGTTGGCCAACATGAAGTTTTAAACATCTATGAAAAATCAGAGTGAAGCTTTAAACATCTATTTAAGACCTACTTTTGAAAAAGTTTTACAGGAATTTACCACTTGTTCTGACTTCATACATTGGGCAGATGTGTACACAAAATTCTCAGTGTTGCATCGATCAGCCTACATGTGGATGTTTTCGGTTTGTTTTCGCTTGTTTTCGAGTTGTTCGGGGTAATTCCCTGCATGGCTGTGTTTAGTAATTAGTAAAACAGCTGACTATAAGACAAATAATTAAAGCAATCAGACATAATTCAAACCTTCCCGTCAATGTTGTCTTTAAAACACACGCCGTACTGTAAAATGCACAGGGGCTTTACAGAGTCAAAAGTTCAGATGTTCATGCAGAGACAACATTTCACGAACTTAAGTTTTCCGACCTGACAAGCACGATTGATGGAAGACGCTTTTACAATAAGCCCTTTTAAAATATCCTAGGGGCTTAACATTTCGTCTATTGTGAAGGACTCTTCAGGTAATGCAATTATACACTTTGGGGGATCAATGTTGGAAAGCTTTGATCTGTTGATGGCGGGGTGGATAATGACAGTGTTGTCGGCATCTCATTTCATAAAGATGAGATCATTCACCTCATTCCATATACACCACATTCAAGTGAACAGTTAGTAGTAATATTAGTAGTGCTAGTAATAGTTGAAGTAGTCAAAATTACATACATTGTACAATGTGCAATTGTCATACACTAAGTTCTTCTATATCGCAAAGGTTAGCGATCCTGATAATAACAGCTTGCCCAGGGGAACCGCCGTAAGTCATTTCCTTAATTTGTTTTTTGCGTGCAGTGGACTAATTTAAAACAGACCTATAGTTTTATCAGAAAAAAAAGTTATGGAAGACAGAAAAGACAGACGCTATCCCGTTTCAAAATGTACAGGTTTATTGTATGGAGAAACCACTATAGACTACGCACTAGTCACTAGTAAGCACTCTGCCTTTTGAACTATAGGCAGCGCTCTGCCTTTTGAAGTATAGGCATCCTTCCATGTCAAGAGATGACAGTAGCATTATAAGTCTGGTGTTGTGGTCGTGCTTAGGGTCTGGTGTGGCTAATTAGCCCTACATGTATCTTGTATCGCATGGCAGTCCCGGCCATAGTTAGGACACAGGAAAGTTGTAATATTTTGTGGTTTCTCTTTTTGCTTCGAATTCTTGCGCTTTGTCTTAAATGTTTTCGGTTTGCTCTGGTGTGGTTTTGAGTTTATTCCCGGGTTGTTTTCAGTAATTAGTGAAACAGCTGACAATATAAGAAAAAAAGGCAACCAGACATACTTCACAACTTCACGCCACGTGGTATTTTATAACGAATACACCGTACGTTAAATACACAGGGGCTTTGTAAAGAGCCGAATGTTCTATTGTTCATACATAGACAACATTTGACGAACTTTAAGTTTTCAAAGTTCTACTAACCTTTTGACCCTTTAGCACCTACAGCACCTGCAAATTCCAAAGATTGATAGAAAACCCTTCGGCAATAACCTATTGACATTTCGTCTATTGTTAAAGATCCTTTGTGAGAAGTGATGGGAAAAATTTAATTGACCTGCAGTGGTTGTCTGATAATGCTATATAATGATCACGCCGTAGGCGTCTCATTTCAGAAACTAGACTTCATTCAACCAAGGGGGTTAGAAATAAGCTCTTTGATTCAACTCACACATTATACACCGTATACAACTTGGTCTGCAGTAGCAGTAGTAATTGTAAAATAGTAAGAGTAGTAGTGGTAGTCTCATTTTAGTACGTTTATGACAATGAAATCAGCACGTGGGCAGAACATACTGCACCTGCACAGTTTATTGTGTGTAGCACTTCTGAATAGATAGAACGTCTCATATAAGATTGTATTTGTGCACATGAGGTTAATAACATCCTGTCTGTCGTTTCCAAATGTTGTGTCGAAAAAAAATTCGTCTTCAACAGGCAAAATTTTTATGCAACGTTGGCCAAAATGAAAACTGTAAAATGGGGGGGGGGGGGCTGCGCAGTTGGAATATAATGATGCTTTAAACATCTATTTAAGACCTACTTTTTAAAAAAAGTTTTACAGGAATTCACCACTTGTTCTGACTTCATACATTGGACAGATATGTGTACACAAAACTCCCAAGGTTGTATCGATCATTCTACATGTGGATGTTTTCGGTTTGTTCGGGTGTTTTCGAGTTGTTTTCGAGTTGTTCGGGGTAATTCCCAGGATGTGTTCAGTAATTAGTGAAACAGCTGACTATAAGACAAATAATAAAGCAATCAGACATAATCCAAACCTTCCCGTCAATGTGGTCTTTAAAACACACGCCGTACTGTAAAATGCACAGGGGCTTTACAGAGTCAAAAGTTCAGATGTTCATGCAGAGACAACATTTCACGATAAGTTTTCCGAACTGACAAGCACGATTGATGGAAAACTTCTACAATACGCCCTTTTACAATATCCTAGGGGCTTAAGATTTCTTCTATTGGGAAGGATTCTTCTGGCAATGCAATTATACACTACCACTCCGGGGGGGGGGGTGGGGGGT